ATCTATAAGTAAGTATAGCATAATATACCATTAAATATAGCATATAGCATATGTTTTACTTCAAATCACATTAATAAAACATTTCACCACTTTTATATTATAATCACCACATTTCACTGCTTTTCACCACTTTACTAACATATAGCATGATCACTACCGATTGAACCTTTAAATCACCTCGACTTGAAACCATAGGCTTACTTTAGACTAATATACATGCTCATTTGTCGTAAGCTCATCTTTAGTGGTAGAATCACCCGACCAAAAGTGTTCTATCTCACTTTCAAACTATGGTTTCCCCCCAATACACACAATAGGGTGTTGTCAACTCTAACACCATATCACATCGATACTAAGAAGTTTGAATCTCCAATACCATACCTTAATAGGTACTAAATAAAATTATAAGAAAATAATTCAAGAATTAAATGAGCTTAGGAAAAATGTCATTAAGCAGCACCAAGAGAAGGGAAGCAAGGCTTTTCACAAAGTATTTATCCTGGTTTAGCTTTAACTACTTGAGCCTACATCTAGTCTTTAAGCTACTCTTGAGATTTTTCACTATCTCTATTAAGATTAAGCTGGGCTCTTAATTGCCATAGTGTAATTCAAACTCCTTCTTGGGTCTATGACTCTCCCCCTTACAAAGATAATATCAACTTTCCTTAAGCTCCTCGAGCTTAAGTTCCTCTAGTACATGTGAGTAAAATCAGGGTGAACAAGATAAGTTCAATAATGAACTACTCCTGCTGTAAACTCTCTCTAAGAGTAAATATACAAACAATGATAGTACAAAAAAATATGCTTGCAGAATGTAGTTAGAGAATGAATGCAGGTGGTTGCCTCAAACTCACTTCTCTATCTTCTTCTTCATAAATGCATCCAATTTATAATAGATTTTGGGAATTTATCCATTAAATTCATTTAGTTGATGTTGATTACTTCAACTCAGGTTCTCAAAGCTCTTTCATCTTTTAAGGTAATGGAACAGTGCTTTTTCGGTGGGTTTGTATGTTGTTGCTGTCTTAAAGAAAGTAACGGTTATATGCGTTAAATGCTTTGACAAAACATAAAAAATATGGATACCGGTAACACAAACACAAACAGGTAGGATGAATGAATAAGAGTTTGATCATACCCTTGATTAAGTTTAAAAGGATTCTTGAATGATAATCAAATGATCACAACACAAGAAAGCACAAGAGATTATCAAATAAGAATGTTTGAAATGCTCTATTTCAAAACAAAAAAAATAAGGGAAGAATCTTTAAAGATATACCAGTAGGAAGTAAGATATACCGATATCCGTATGAATATTTTAAGAAAGATAAAGAAAAGCTCCATACAGGTAGAAAGGAGATATATCAGAATGATTGATCATAAAATACATTAATTCTTGAGGACATATACCAATAGATCTTGGACATTTGGATAGATGTAACACAATTGAGTAGAAGTCCAACATACCGGTAGAAGTGATCGCAAGAAGATTGAATGAGAATAGAAGAGGACATTCCAGTAGACTTTACATATATTGGTAGGATTAAGCTACTCGAGTAAGTTCAAGATATATCGATAGGAATGCCATAGTTATAGAAGCATGAGACCTTTGGGTAGGACAGAGATCTTCTGGTAGAAGATAACCATACTTGTAGGTGTTACATATACCATTAGGTTTAGTATTAACAAAGAATTTGAACATACGAGCCTTCTTTTCTTAATCGTGATAATTTTGCCCAGCAAAGCAACTTCTCTATATTTTTGTAATCATCAAAACTAGGGTTCAACATGAGTAAGTATAGCATAATTTCCAATATAAGGATTCTTATAGGATAAATGAATTAAGGAATATGGTGAATTAAGCCTTAAAGACAAATGGTTAATGTCAAATAAGTACACAGACCAGCAAAGATATTTCAAAACAAAGGCTTAGGAAATTTTTAATATTCATACTAATATTGGTAGAGGCAAGGTAATGCTAGTAGAATTTATAGCTTAGAGAATTTGTTAGGGATAAGTACTTGTAGGCTCATTTATACTTACTTACCAATTCCTTTAGCTAATTTAGTCTTGTCAAATAAAATGTTCTCTAATTTGTTATCATCAAAACCATAATTCAATAGTTTTCAAGAAAAAAAAAGTTTAGAAAAATAAAAAATGGAAAACTTGTTTGAAAATGTGTTTTCTATTATCTATTTTGGAAAACAAAAAAGTTAAAATTTGTTCTGATAACTGAAAAATGAGGACAACTTTTAGATGTTTTGTTACTTTTTGTTCTTCAAAACTAGAGAAAAAGAAAAAAAAATCATGTTTTCATTAATTACAATCATGTTAATAAAATAATTTTTTTAACTTTTTGTTTAACCAATTAGATATGTTTTCCAAAATAGTGACTCTAACAGAATTTTTTTGATCTTTTATTTTCAGAACTTGTTTTGAAAAACTACCTTGCGTAATTGTTTTAAGAATGAAAAGAAAAAACCGAATCAAGCAAGCCCTTCACCACCCCTTAACTATTACTCATAATTTATATTCCAGAGTAGGTAGAACATCAATTTTAGTCCTAGTAACTATTTCTCATCAATTATGTTCAACAGTAGATAGCCACATCAATTTCAATTCTATACACTACAAAATTGCCCATATATAACGCCTCTTATTAGAAAATTATATGCACAACCATCTAATAAGTAGAGGCAATGGAGCATATTGGATGGTTTGGACAATTATATGCACAACCATCTAATAAGCAGAGGTAGGGGAGCATATTGGATGGTTGATAGTCCAAGTATGAGAGATGACTACTACATATCTGTGTTAAACCTTACTCTTCCTCTAGTAATTTCTTTTCTAGTTAACTTTTAAGTACAATATCTTTTTTATAATCTAAATTACTAAATATTTTATTTGTTCATAGGGTGAATCTACACACAAATTACATATAGAAATTTTTTAAAAAAATGCAGTTGTTGTGGGTGCTATATATAACATTGCTGAAGAAACTTTGCGCAAATTTTAATTATACTTTGGCATCGTTTGAGTTTCTATTGATAATTTTCACTAATGGTAAGGCTAGATATTACCAATACCTTCAGATGATGAAATGGTATTGGTTAAATATGTTGAACGTACTTTTGTTGGATAGACTATACATCTCATTTAGCCATATAAAATGGTAGTTATTAATTCACACTTCCTTATAATTTTTTAGATATATTTATAATTATATGATGACTTAATATCATGATTTTAATCGCCTACATGCACAATCCAAATCAAAGGTTAAACAAATTGAAGCGTATGGTAACATTTCAAAGAAATTGACTACCATGCATGTAAAAGCAAAATTGTTTAAGTCATGAAGCATAATTTGCAAAGAAAATACCGGCGTAAGTCATGATGCTCTAATTCTTTTTTGCCAATGGTAATACTATAGTCATGGAATTTGAAAAAGAGATTTAGAATGTAGAAAATGACTTGTACAATGATTTTGCTCAAAATAATATCAATGATATACTTTATCATTGATGGTTAAATGCTTCCCCTATCAACATTTTGGGGAAGGTACTTGTTTCATAATATCATTTATTATTGATCATTTTTTATCATCTATCATGATTGGTTTTGATATAATTTTATGATATTTATCAATGTATTTGTACCATAATGTGTTGAGGGACACTAAGAAGAAGCATAAATTCTCATTTATCATCCCGCACTATTGTAGTCAACATGTAGGGTAAATGCCATAGCACATCAAATAAATCTTGTGAAAGAAATGTTATTCCAAAAAGGCAGAAATAGATATGTATGTTATTCTTAATACTTTTCAATGCAGAGTAAGTATTTTATATTCATGATTTTTTATATGTTAGATACCTCAATTTTTTAAAGTTTGAATTTTTTTTTTAGGAAACATTGAATTTTAATTGTTACAGTCCTTTGGTTGTTTTTTGGCCTTAATATCATCCTATAAGGGATGGTTTGGCAAAAATTCACACTACTATATTAAGGTTGTTCAATAAGTAAGTATATATGTTTATTGATTTATTTTACATATTCGTGTGAGAGAGAGCCGGGGGGGGGGGAGATTTAATTATATATCAATTTGTTTTTCATTTTGGCAGGGCATTGATCAGTTTCCGTGGTTTTAAAAGGCATACTTTTCCTAGAGCTGCTGACTTCTCCAAGACTTACCAATGGACAAAAAATTATGGTATTTATAAGAATTTACTACATTATTGAAAATAAATTTATTGGATTCATAAATTTATATGACATTTTGATAATTTTTAGTGTCCTTTCCAACCCAACAACAATGTTTGTGGCTGTTATATAATGAAGTTCATAAAAGATGTAGTTACTCAGGATCTTACTTTTGCCCCAGAAGATGTATGGAACTTCAATTCCATTATACATTGTTTTTAAATTTTATTGAGTTTATATATTTTTCAGTTAATTTTAGCGTGTTGTCTTAATAGTTATTATATAGTACTATGATGACGGACGTGGTGACAAATAAACTAATGAGCATATTAATGATCTAATTGAAGAGTGGTCATTCTTTTTTTTTTTTTTTGAAATAATGTACCACAAGTTGGGTAAATGTTGATTATATAATAATTACTACACAATACATTATATAGCTTTTCCTCCAGGAAATGCTACATCATATATTTATTCAGGAAACGCCACTGCTTATTAATTTATTAATAATGATAATGATCATAATAATATAAGAAAGGAAATGTTATCACTTGTGTTACTCTCTAGTAGCATTTCACTTATCCTCAAAACACTAGCTGTGATTTTATATGACACTAGAACTTGTAATATCTTGTAAAGGCTACGAAATGAAAATATAAAATATGCCACCGAAGTCTTTGTTTAGTAGTAGTGTTTGGAATCGAATTTAAACAGTAAAATCTTTTTTTTTTTTTAATGGAACTGCTATTTGTTGGGCGTGACGTACACAGCAGCATATATGCATGCGAATGAGATTGACTAAAATGAATCGTCTTGACTATATATATACACTCACTCATAACATTCCTCATGCAAATCACACAAAGAATTCTCCTTACCAACATCATTCTCAACACAAGGAGACTTCATTTTCCCATCCTCATACCAACCACTGCGTTTCACAACAAGCTCACTCACAAAAGCATTCAATTTCTCAGCCGTAAGATTTGGCATCACCACCACATTAGCCACATTCCATTGGCACGCGAGCTGCCAGACTCGAACAAACTCCTCATCTTGAGGCCTCTCGAACACAACAATATTGCTATGGCGATTCAGTAGCACGCTAATCCCAGACTTCTTCAGGCACTCCTTCAAGTAAAGGGCGTTTTTGAGGCACTCTTGAGCCTCTTTTTGGAACCCTTTGAATCCCTTCTTGTTGAGTGTGTACCAAAGGAATATGGGTGCATGGCTGTTTCTGCTTCCCATGATAGTTGCGTCTCTTGAAGCAAGATATTCTACGTTCTGTGATAGGACCTGTATGTGACACAAACGTGTTATTTGTACCCCACAAGGAATAGGGCAACCCACAAATTTATGCCCTGAAACACTTATGCTTCCTATTGGCTTCTTGAAGGTTACTTTCGGTGCCTGTAATGTTCACAGTTTCCTCATTATATACGAATGCATGTAATTATATAGCGACGGTGAGATGAATCAGATAACAATATATGCTTTTTCTGTTCCCTTGCTAGAAATTGACATGGGAATTTTTGAAATACACATGCAATAATTAATATTGCACAAACTTTTATAATGACATTGTTCTGATCATGGTTTAGACTATAAGACTCTTCTGAAAGATAACTCTACCTAATTCAAACTGTGTCTTTGAATATCATAACTCCAACTCAACCAGTTAAAAATTTAGGTATACAGGGTAACAAGAAAAGAAAATATATACATACACACTATGGCACCATCTGGAAAGCAATTTCGACAAAACAATAAATAAGGAGCAAGCATGTTTGTCCTAATGCTTTTATCTCTCGGAGAATATAATGAAGGACCTTTAAAAAAATGTAATATCTAACAAGAATCCTCGATCGGTCGGATATTTGTTAAACAATAAGGTTAACGTATATTTTTAGTTCTTTAATTTTATATAAGGTTTTATTTTGGTCCCTTAATTCCTTAATTTTATAAAATAAATTTTTAATTATTTAATTTTAACACTGTTAGTTTCACTACAAAATTTTTTTCATTGAACATCTACATATTGACAAAATATTCTCAAATATTCACTTGTTAATATTTTTTAAAATAAAAATGATTGTCACAAGAAACAATCATTTCAAACTAATAGCATTAGGATGATAGAACTAAAAATATACTTTATAAAATTCAGAGATCAAGTTACAATCTTATATAAAGTTAGATGATTAAAAGCATATTTTGACCAAATAATAACTTCACTTGTTAATTTGTCAATGTTTGTAGAAATCCTTATCAGATATTATCTTTTCGTTAACTTCCGCATAAAATATAAATATTAACATTGAAAATAAAGAGCGCTTATGAAATCACGTGTCAAAAAGGATTCACATATTTCTGGAGTTCACGCCACCGTCATAAGAGGATTAGACAGTGTAATCAAATTAAAGCAATACATTAATATAGATGTTTCCGTTTCGTGCTCACATAAACGCAGTGCCACTAAAACAATGGCTGTCTTGTAGTTAATCTAATTAAATGCTGACATAAAATGGGTGGTTTAATTTCAATTTATGCAACTTACTAGTAGAAGAATACCTCGATATCCAAGCAATGACATTAGGAAGGTTTTTCTGAACTTTGAAGTATGAGAAAATCATAGTTAGGTCTTAAAAAGACAAGTTAATGACAGTTAGATCCTGATAAAATTAAAAAAATGTAAATATTAATTCAAATAACTATAAATAAAAATTTCTATTACAATCTAAGAGTTACATTTAATATATTTAAATACGAATTTGCAATTATCTACATTAATATTTTTAATTTATTTTTTTTAAAATGTTGATGATTTAACTATCATTAATTTAACATGTTCTAAGACCTGTGTCATTTTCTTTTGAAGTTTCCAGCATCATGTGGTAGATGCTTCGCGTATAAAGATAAAATTACCTTTTAGAAGATGAGAAACCTTTCAATTTATTTTTCTAAATTCAGAAAATTTTTAAAGAGAAACTCAAATAAAATTGAAAGGGACGGGACTTACACTTTTTAGAAAAGGAACCATTAGTCCAAGTAACGCTCCGTCACAGTGAATGTAGAATCGATCAGAGGTATAACCACTTTCTTCAAGAGCTTTTATAACTTGATCTACGTCGTCAATAGCTCCTTTCACAGTTGTTCCTACATACAACGTAGATTCACTATTTGGAATAATCAACAATTAATTTTATTACAAATAAGAAAAGGGTTGAAGGACAAATTAACCCCCTTAATTAATAGGTTTAGAAGCGTATGAGATCTTTAACTTATTTTTTATGCAATATTTCCCTTTAACTTTTGAAAATAATAAAATATAACCCCACCCATTAACAAAAATTAACCTTAACTGTTAGTTAATTAAAAAAATTATAAAAAAGACCTAAAAAATTATATAAAAGACCAATAAAATTTTTTTGGCCTTTTTGTGTAATTTTAGGGTCATTTTCAATAATTTTTGAATTTTTTTATTTTTTTAGTTAACTAACAGTCAAATTAAAGTTAACTTTTATTAATAATAGAGACAACATTGTACTATTTTCAAAAGTTGAAAGAGAATATTGCAATAAAAATAAGTTTAAATTTCTCGACACTCGTGAAGCTACAATTTAAGTGTTAATTTGTCATTTAAGCTCATAAGAAAATGAAGATTCTTTTCAAAAAGGTATCGTTTAACAGCATGCAAAAGACATATATAGAGACCTATGTTTAGGTTGATGATGGCCGGCTTCTGCTTATTAGCAAGCAATTTAGACTTTAAATCTGCACAATCAATCTCACCAGAAACCAAAGTGGCAACTTTGACACAGTCTATTCTATACATTCTTGCTGCTTTGAAAACGGAGTAATCTGAGTCATTTGAGGCATATAGAACTCCATCTGGAAACACTTCTCTCCTGATCAATTTGGAAACATGACAAATCAATCAGCATACAATATGTATTAAAGAAAAATTGCAATATTGTTACTGGTTGGAGTTTGGATTAGATGAGTGGTCTCAGTCTACCTAATTAATGAGTGTCTCATGTGGCCCAATAATAACATACATTAGGAGTGTTATAATTATAAGAATTATTTTGAATCTTTGGAAGGAAATGTGTATCTTGATAATTTTTAATTATTGATAAAATCCAATTGCTACAATTTGGATGTTTATTGAATGAGTGAATTTAGGTCACTCACCAAATCCAACTAGCTCTAGGTTGTCACGATGCATTTTACTCTAGATCATCTTATAATTTACAACTAGGACAAGACTATTCTAGTTTATGAATATAATGTCTAGTTCATTTTGGAACCAGATTATCTCCATTTTCCCTGTTCCCCTTTCCCTCTCCAATTCCCATCTCAAATGTCAAATCAAAATTTGAACGAATCAAATTTAATAGTTCATAAAATTGTTAATAAAATTAAAAAAATTAAATAAGTACATTCAAAACTGCTAAAATTTGATGAGGATAGTTCACAACTGCAACAAACAATATTGAAAAAAAAATATTTTGTACAATATTAAATCCGAAGCATCACTCACATTTTAATTTAAGATAGAAAATACAGAGAAAATAGAGGGAAAGAGAACCGAGAAAAACCCACGTCCATTCATTCCAGCATGTGCTTCAACTATCCTTCTCATTTTTGGCTACAAGGGGAAAATAAAGGAAAACGAGAGAAAAATTTAGGGCAAGCCAAATCGACATGGCAAGCTAAACATGGTCCATTTTTCTAGCATGGTAAGTGTTATGGGCTAGAGATGGGTAGTTTAGTTTGACGTGTAAACATCCTATGATGATATAAAATATCCTATATCCATCATCTCTCAGGATGGGATAATGCTAGAGGTGCATGTAACAATCTCACAAGTAAAATTATTTTTGTACCAATAATGCCAAACAAAAGCATGCATCCATGTTTTAAGTTAAATATAATTTAATTAGGTACATACTAACCCGACTAAAATTCCATGAAGATTGCCTTCGGTTCCACAATTTGTAGTGTAACCCCAATATTCATCCTTGTTGATTTCCCATAGACGAGCAAACCAATCTAGTACACCAACTTCGAAGGCTCTCGAGTGTACACCATAGTTGCTTTCTATAAATGGGTCCCCAAGATTGTTGATCAAGAAATCTTGCAATTGCTCTACCCTTCCATAGTCGAAGTCTAAATTATATGGGTAACCTACGAAGATATAAACACCACATGCTTTTTCACAAAACAATGTTAATAACTAGTATGTGTTTTTTCATAATACACTTGAATGCATAAGTTATATATATATAATTATGGTTAAGGTATGTTTAAAATTAACTTTTGAAGTAATTATTGTGGCGTGTTAAAATATAATGAAGTCAAAAAATGATTTCTCTAATCTTTTCTTTTCCCTTCTCCTTTCACCTTCTCTATCTAAACTTTGAGATTTAATATTTGGAAATTATGATAGTTGATTCCTATATTTTGACCGTGTTTTATTTTTAGTCTTTATAGTTTTATTTCATTGTTCTCAGTCTCTTTAATTTGATTTGTGTGTAATGTAATCCCTATGGTTTTAAAAATGTACATAACGACCATGAATTGATACTGACAAAATTAATTTCATTGTAACTCTGCTAAGCTCTTTGCTGAAGTGATAAAAGAAATATGCTGACATGGACATAAATTGATTAGGTATGATTAAAAATAAAAGGCAAGGTGACCAAAAAAAAAAAAAAAAGCTTTCTTAAATTTGGATTAAACAAAATGTGGGAGGCAAGATTATTAAGTACACGTCAACAATGGGGTCAACAGAGTTAAGTATAAATGGACTAAGAAAAATGAAATAAAAATATAGAGACTAAAAACAAAACACAATCAACTTATGGAGACTTAATTACTGTTATATTTTTCCTTTAATATCTTAAGAAAAGAGTACCTAAACGATTTGTATTTAAGAGAAGAGACAAAAATCCCACAATCCAAGGGGGGGATTGTAAAAGTGTTAACCATGAAACAAGTTTACTACTTTTAACATATAATACTCAAAATTTAGCACCAACAGATTTTGGAAGCTAGCTAGAGCCATACAAGTCTCAGAAATCAATTCAACTTTATGAATAAACTTCAAAGAGAATATATATATATATATATATAGAGAGAGAGAGAGAGAGAGAGAGTTTTCAGAGTTGGAAGAAACAGAAAATGAATTAATCCGATAATACCGAAATGGTGAGTGGTCCTCTGAATGAGGGTCTTCATGTAACGAGCATGCAAACTGGCCATATGAGCTTCCTTGTCTCCTGTAATGTCATCGTCCACATCAGGTTCTGTAATAGCAAACTCCACATTCTCTTTTCTCTTCTTCATCACCTCTTTATCATATTCTCTCAAGAAACTTCCATTAGAAACCACTGGAGGGGAAGTATCATCCATCGTTCACTTCTGTTAATTATATTCTGATATATATATTTCTGAGATCGCAGAATAATAGATATACACCACACACATGAAGAAAACTCAAATTTCACTACCTTGAAGCAAAGTGAAAAATGTGTGTTGTGAGAGAGAGAGAGAGAGAGAGAGAGAGAGAGAGTAGTGAGGGCGTGAGAGGAGATCGAAGGTGAGTTATATTTATTTATAGGCATGGATATTTGGTTTGAGAATGTGGAGGGATATAGATTAAATTCTGTGATAGAAAAAAATCATATTGAGAAAGAGATATCTTCAAATGGGTCCCGAAGGGAACAAATCTAACTAAATAATACCAGATGTATTGAACAATATATTTTTTCTTTAAAAAAAAGAAAGTTGTAAGGATCTTTAATTTTATCCAATAAGCATTTTTTTTTGGGCATATGTACGTTTAACTCTTTTATTAGGGGTTCACATTCTTATTTGAGAAAATGACAAATTCAAGACTCTTCAAGAGAAATTATTATATTTAAGGACCACAAATTATTGAAACATTGATAAAGGACCATACTCCTTGACTAGAAATAAAAACAAGATAACTAAAAAAGGGCTCTGTTTTTTTTTTGGGGTAAGTAAAAAATATATTTTAAAGTAGTTATATTTAAATTAAAACATTAATGTGTACTTCTAATATATTTTCAGCATTTAAAGTAGTTATAATTTGATTCCTTACAAAAATAATTCAAGTTTACATCTTAAAAAAAAAAAATCAACAGGTTAGCTTTTTTCTTCTCAAAATACATTAAAAAGATCAATTGGAAAAAAGTATAAACTGCTTACAACTATGAATATTTTTAGAAAGAGGACATTTTATTCATCTCGATTTATTTTAAAATCCAGTCAGGACCATAATTCATTATTAAACTTTCAATAATTTGTGGTTTCTAAATGTAATAATCTCTTTTAGGGAGTTCTCAAACGTCATTTTCCCCTTCTTGTTTGAAAAAAACAATTCAATGGACATACGAGGACGCCTGTTTCGACCACATGAACCTCAGCTTGTACCAATAATTGAGGCTTATTCATAAAGTGCCAACGTGTTTCACATAGAAAGGGTTTAAATAAGAGGACCCTCGATTAAACAATTACCAAAAGATGTCCCGTGCGTTCCGCTCTTTTTCTTTCTTTCTTTCTTTCTTTCTTTTTTTGTTTTTTTTTTTGGGGGGGGACAAGGGGACCCTGGATTAAATAACCAAAAATTAAAATAAAATCAATCCAATCTTATTACACCAAACTGACATGAACCGATGATAATCATTTATAAATAAAGTTTAGTTTGACTTTTCTCTTGACAAAGCGGTTTGGTTCAATTCGGTTTTTATTTTTGTTTTTTGAGATTTGAATCTAACTAAACCAAATTTTATTATATCTGTTTTATATATTTTTATAAATCTATCTAAAGTTTTTTCTCTTCCCCAAATTTAGTTACATGTAAATCACTGGTTAAAAATATGTTGCAATTAGTTAAATATTGTCTATCATTATTAAGTGCTACAAAAGTAACATATCAGTATTCAATAGTTAAATGTATTAAATAATTGTTAAAAAACATTATTTTATTTTCAAGAGATTTTTTTCATTGAAAATACTAATTAGTAGTTAAAAATTATTAGTTAAAATGCATGTTCACGCATACATATTATCTTAAAAAAAAACTCAAACTTAAGCTAAATATAAATTAAATAGAATCAAATCGATTAGAAGGAAAAAAAAACTAAATTGTAAGCCAAGCGAACCAATTGATTTTCTTTTTTTTTTTAAAAAAAAAGCAAGCTAAACCAGATCTATGAACACCTTTGGTAGTTAAGCAATAATTTTTACAATAAAAAAAAACTTAATAAGAAGGCCAATTATTTATGACCACGTGAACCCATGTCCTTATCTTTTGACCTTCTTGTTTGTATAATTGAAGCTTTTTGAAAATGTAGACACGTGTTCCATAATTAAGAACAGGGCATACCTTACGTACAAGAGTAGAAGACTAGCGCGACGACGTTATGTCCATCCAGAAGAAATTAGAAAAGGAAAAATATTGTTGGATTCCGTTTGCTTTCTAATTATAAGAAATGTATATGAAACAAAGTGATCCGGAATTAAAACTGAACATAAAAGTTGAAAAACAAGTCAAATTCAACTTGATTTAATCTCATAAGGAAGTGCAATTATATTACCTATCATTTTCTTAGCGAAAACACAAGTCAATTTTATTTTATTGATATATCTGGAAAATATTACCATCAACAAAACGTTTGAAAGCAAAATAAAGAGAATAAAGGTGCAAATTTAATCATAATTTTTTTTTTTAGAAAACAACTGAATAGATTATGCTATGAGGTGATATAAAATATATATATATATATATATATCAACCATAGAAAATAGAGCACCTAGCAGCAACTGTTAATTTTAAAAATACGGAAATTTATTCTAGGTCCCACTCGAATTTCATTCAACCATTTCTATATGCAAATCTATCTCCATTCTAATTCTCCTCTATGGCCATTGCTTCAACCTTGCTTGCCTGTCTATGCAACCAAAAGAAACATACCTCTACAACCCTGCCCAACATCCCTCTCGCCATTGTTGATTCCAGTTGGTCTTTCCATTGAGATGTACAGATGTCCATGGACGAGATCAAAAAGGCCACCATGAACTTCTTGCTAGACCTCATCATCAGCCACAGTAGCTCTAAAGTCATATAGGCGGGTGGAAAAAGAGATATATTTTCTTTTAGCTGCCTTATTGGAGGACATTAGATGTGAGGCATTTTTAAAATTCAATGCATGTTAAGAAAAATGTATACGATAACATTGTGGGTATGCTACTTCACATTGTAAGAAAGACCAAAGACGGTATTAATACGAGGTTAGACATGGTGGCTATGGGATGAGGCAAGACTTGGCACTAAAGGAGAAGGAAAGTCATGCATGCCTTTGTCAAAAGCCCACACACTTTTTAAAAGAGAAAAGTAAATTTTCTGTGAGTTATTGGTTAGGGTTAAAGTTTCAGACGGTTACTCTTCCAACATTAGAACCATATGGCTATGAAGAACTTGAAGCTAATGGGGTAGAAAAAAGCACCACTACCATGTATTAATGGAGAATTTTATTATTCTATTAGATTTATGCTCAATTTTACTAGATGAGATATGAGCCACAATCACTAAACTATGCTTCTTCTTCATGTCAATTTGTAATAAAGTGATCAACCCCGTAAAGTTAGGAAGCTTGCAACATTGAATTGTGTGTGTGAGGTTAAGATGAATTTCCTACTTCTGTTCTTTAACATAATGGTTCACTAAACTATTCACTTGGTTAGGGAGGTTAAAGAGTGTAGCCCAGCTTATTTAATGTTGATGTACCCTATTGAGCTCTAAAAGGGTATGAAAAATTAAAGTCAACCTAAGGGTTGCATTGTTGAAAAGTATATAAGTGAAGAGGCAGTTGAATTTGTCAAAAGTGTTTAAGAGATGGGAAAAATGTTGGGCTTTCGGTGGATAATAAGCATGTGGGAAGGGAAGATGGGGAAGGGACAATTGTAAAGAAATTAATAACTATATCACAGAAAAATTGGGAGCGAGCACAACTCTTTGTACTACATAACTCTAATGAGATTCTCGACTGTGTTGAAAAGCAAAATGTCAAACATAGGAAGGTTAACATTAGAAGAATAGGGATCAAAATTCTTGAATGTTGCAGCCAAACATCAAACTAGAGCTAGCAATTTGGGGTTGGTCATGCTCAACTTGGGTCGAGATTATTCTAGTCAAGTTTAAAATAGCTGCATATATAAAAGATGTCATATAGTTAAACCTGATCCTATCACTCTCAAGCTTTGAGTTTATTTTGGCCCCCCTTAATCATTGAATTGCCTTTTCTTCGTTATTTTTTAAATAAATATCAACATTTATGTTTAAATTAATTTATTCTATTATTATGAAAAATACAAAACATACCTTTTTGAATACTTAAAAAAATGTAGAAGACCCAAATTTTTTAACAAAAAATTGTGGGTCTTTAAGATTGAAAATCAATACTAAAATATATTTTAAATATTATTTTAAGATATTTCATAGATTAAAAATAATAAAAATTTAAAAAGAATAATATTTTTAATTTTGAAAGAAAATATCTATAATAATTTATCAAATATATTGTTTCTTTGTATAAAAAAGCTAAAACTTAAAGAATTAATAGGTATTTTATATATTTTTAAAACATTGAACATGCTATTCAAGTATTTAGGCAAAGTCTGAACATTACTATAAAAATGCATATATAGGATGCTTTAATGTAGGATGGTTGTTAGCACAACTATCCTGTGTAAGAAGGTGGAGAGAGAGCCCGAAAAAATATGTTAACACATATAGGATGGTTATAAAGGGCACCGTCTTATATGTTTAATAACATAGGATAGTTCACATTCAAATCATCCCATATGATTTTCTAAAAAAATTTAAAGTAATTTATTTTTTTAAATATAGAAAATATACAGGACAATTATAAGGAAGAACTGTTGTTTTCTATTAGAACCATCCTGTATAGCATTTAAAATTCCTATCCCCCTATTCTTTTAATCAAATAATGGACCCCATGGCACGGGTGACATAGCATTAATGGAAACAAAGCTTGAGGATGGTAATCATGAGCATGGTGACATAGAAGGAGCCCAACACTTCCAATCCAATGTACCTAAAGACCCATTACAACATATTGGAGGTCCAATGACAAGAGCCCAAACTAAAGCCATGAAGCAAGCCTTATTCAGTCTTGTGCAAGAAGTTCAAGAGCTTGGAGAGCATTGGGGCACTCCTCTCAAGCCCAAAGGAGAGCATCTATACGTGTATAATATATTTAAGATCCAAACTCATAAAGAGTCAAGCCCAAGAGATGCAGACCTTAGCCCAATGCAAGGAAGACTACAAGTTTAACCTCTTGCAAGTAAGGAGGCATGAAACCCTAGTAAAGAAGTCAAGGGTGGCGTGATTTTAAATCCTTTATGATCCCTTGATTGTCTCCTAAACTATTTCCTATTTTAATGGTCCTTTGATTTGATTTTCTATTTTGAGTCTAGTCAAAGGTTAGAATTAATTATAGTATTAATTTCTAAATTTTG